GCTCCCCTCAATCTTGCCCCATCGAGGCCCCCACACAACAAACGAGGGCCCCAGCTTCCCTCAAAGTCCACAGCACACCTTCCAGAGACACAGAGATCATGGCCTACCACTCCCGAGCTGCTCCAGGAAGTAGTCGGTCACTCGCGGGTGCTGTCTCGTCCTCCCTCGCGAAGCCTGCCTGCCTCCCAGGGCCCCTCCCGCGGCAGTAGGCTCTCACTGCCCGGCCCCACCCTAGCACGAGCTGCAGGAGCAGGTGTAGGCTGGCGGGGGCTTTGCGGGTGGGAATGCAGCCGGGCCCAGTCGTGATGGAATTCTGTCACTCGGGCCACACAGGAGGCAGAGTTTAGGCTCTGTACACCCAGGGTCCGAGGGACTCCCCTAAGGACAGGGTCCTGGCCCCCACAAATCTGTCCCCAGATCCCACTGGAGAGCAGGCGACCTGGCAGAGGGAGAACGGAATTTGCATTTCTGAAGGCTGAGCCAGGATCCCACGCGTGTGCGGAGGCAGCGTGCACTAATGGCCAGGCTGGGCGGGATCAGGGCAGGCGCCAGCTGGGAGGGAGGAGCCCCTGGGACCTCAGCTCTGCGGCCCCCAGGGGTCACCGCTTAGGAACCCCCTAAGAGGAGGACCCACCTGGAGCTCTGGCGTGGGAAGTGCGTGGGCAGCCACCACGTGACCATCCCTCTCCAACATCACGTTGCTGCTGACCACTTGGTCCCTTGCCCTCACTGGCCAGTGGTCAAGGGTCCCATGGAGGGAGGAAAGACAGCATGCAGGGGTGTCCAGGGCTGAAGGGAGGGCCAAGGAGGGGGAGGCTCGCCGGCAGCTGAGCTCAGAATTTCCACTGATGTCCCAGCAAAAGTCCCCCCAAAATGCCAGCGAGGACTCGGGCCCACAGGTGCAGGAGCCCACCAAGCCTGCACAGCTGAGGCCCACACAGGTCCCTGTGTGCGCCTGCTCAGGGCCTCCCACAATACAGGGTGTGGACAGGAGGACAGAGCCTTCCCCCACGTGACAAAGCCCTCGTGCAGGCTCCGGGCCTCGGCTGAGAGGAGCACAGCCGGGCCAGGCCGACTCACAGGCTGAGGCCACCCGGCAGAGGCCCAGGTCACAGTGGCCTTCCAGGCGCTGGCCATGTGTGGCTGTGGCGCCCCCGTGGTTGTGTGGCTCCAGGCCGGCCCTTGACTCGGATCAGCAGCAGCAGGATTGCAGAACACACAGGTACCAGAGGGGCCCGTGCGGCGCCCTCACTCCTGAAGCCCCGTTAGTGCAGGCGGCAGAGCCCCCGCACCTCCCGTGCGTGTGTCACATCTCCTCGACGGACTCCCGGGAGACCCTCCCCAAACTCCACCTGCGGAGACGGAGACAAGCCCGGGGCGTGGATTTAAAGAATCCACGTACTCAGCGCAAGAACAATACAGCGGGGGTAAGCCGGGTCCCAGGACTCTGTAAACGACTATGACACCACAGGGCACAGCGGGTAAAGCCGCCGCCTGTGACACCGGCATCCCACGTGGGCGCGGGTTCAAGTCCCAGCTTCTGCACTCTGGGCCAGCTCCCTGCTACTGTGCCTGGGAAAGCAGCAGAAGACGGCCCGAGGGTTTGGTCCCTGACAGGAGTTCCTGGCTCCTGGCTTCTGCTTCGGTTCGTTTTAAAATGCCATGATTTTGTGCTTTTACTAAGTGGAAATCAGATTGTATTATGTTTAATAACGACATATACCAATGGATCGCACAGGTGAAGCCAGTATCACAGGACCTTTGATGGGCGAAATCGGGTACCTTCCGTAAGTGGACCCGTGACACCGAACGTGTGATAGCAGAAAGTGAGGAGCGCCGTAAGTACCAAGCGATTCCACATTTGAATTATTTTATAAGTACTAATTTACATAACGAAAGTGATGCTTTTCTCGTAAACGGACTGAGAGGGGGACAGTCAGCAGCTCTTTATAGGTGAATTTATTTCAGGGACCGCAGAGCCCGGCGCACGCAGGGTCCCGGCAGAGGTCACCGCTGCTGTCCAGGTACTGATTATTTGAGCTTTCTTGACTTATATTTATCCTTCTTGATTTGTATTTCTTGATTTACTTGGGCTTGTTGTTTGCTCATTTGGTTTGGTGTCAGGGAGAGGCCGCGGAACACCTGGTTAGCGACGGCTGCTTCAGTGTCTGCTGACCCTGACCCATCCCCTGCAGGACCGGGTCCCTGTGCCCCACGGCATCCCACCGCGTCCCACAGGGCCCAGGCGACACCCAGGGACCGCGCCCACTGCGGCTGCTGGTCGGTCACGTGGTCCTGACAAGCACCTGGGGAGGGGTGGGGAGCAGCACTGGAGGTGGGGGCAGGTCTCCAGCCCGGTGACAGCTGCAGGACAGGATCGGGCCCGACAAGCTGGGCAGAGCTCAAAATCACCAAACAAGAAGTCAAGTTGAATAACCGCGCACACGCGCACCTCCCAAGGACAACTGGAGTGTCTGCCGCGGGCCAGCCCGGAACAAACCAGCCCGGGTCTGCACTACGCCCGCGTGCCCCGCATGGCTCAGCTCAATGCCTGTCAGAGGCGATTTCAGCGCCGGCCAATGCACCAACACGCAGGCTGCCAGGTTTCTGCTGTGGGACGCGGAAGGGCGTGCGCCCTGGGGGCAGCGCGGGAAGGGCCGAGCCCAGCCGTGTCCTTGGTCCACAAGCGCATGTGGGTGCAACCCAGGGTCACAGCCCAACATCACAGAGCCTCACGTCACACATGACGTCACACGGCCTGACACCACGCAGCCTGACGCCACACAACCTCATGTCACACATGACGTCACACAACCTCACGTCACACAGCCTCACGCCACACATGACGTCTCACAGCCTGACACCACACAGCCTCACGTCACACATGACGTCACACAGCCTCATGTCACACATGACGTCACACAGCCTGACGCCACACAGCCTGACGCCACACAGCCTCACGTCACACGTCACATCATACACCCTGACACAACACAGCCCGATGTTACACAACCTGACACCACACAGCCCAACGTCACACAGCCTCACGTCACACGTGACGTCACACAGCCTGATGCCACACAGCCTCACGCCACACAGCCTGACGAAACACATGACGTCATACAGCCTCACGCCACGCAGCCTCATGCCACACGTGACATCACACAGCCTGACACCATACAGCCCGACGTCACACAACCTGACACCACACAGCCCGACGTCACATAGCCTCACATCACACATGACGTCACACAGCCTGACGTCACACAGCCTGACGTCACACAACCTCACGTCACACATGACGTCACACAACCTCATGTCACACAGCCTGACACCACACATGACGTCTTACAGCCTGACACCACATAGCCTGACGCCACACAGCCTCACGTCACACGTGACGTCTCACAGCCTGACACCACACAGCCTGACGCCACACAGCCTCACGTCACACGTGACGTCTTACAGCCTGACGCCACACAGTCTCACGTCACACGTGACGTCACACATCCTGACATCACACAACCTCACGTCACACACCCTGACGTCACACAGCCTGATGCCACACATGACGTCACACAGCCTGACACCACACAGCCCAATGTTACACAACCTGACGCCACACAGCCCGATGTCACACAGCCTCACATCACATGTGACGTCACACAGCCTGACACCACACATGACGTCCCGGAACCTGACACCACCGACGTGCGGTGGCCTGATAGGGGTTTTCACTTTAAGGGCGAGTGCGTTCCTGGGGACCTCAGCCACCGTGACTGGGCGCTGCTCCCTGGAACCCAGGGCCGGTGCCGCCGTGCCGCCCCCGCGAGCAGCCTCGGGACCACCCGTAGGCCGAAGCGCAGCGCCAGGCGGCTGCACGCCAGCACCAGCTTTCACAGCGCAGAAGCGAATCGGGCGATTTGGGGACAACTCGGCACGGAATTCCCGGAACTCGGCTTCTGCGTTCACGAGGGCGCCTCCGGGTTAATTCTTGTCCCTGACCTCAGTCCTGGAGCATCGCGACGCGCTCTGACCCTGACCTCAGTCCTGGAACATCGCGACACGCTCTGACCCTGACCTCAGTCCTGGAGCATCGCGACGCGCTCTGAATTTGTTTTCTGCACACGGACCTCAAGGTCAGGTCTCTGGATCTCTCCCTGTCTCTCTCAGCCAACGAGGACGAGGGCAAAGCTCCCCGCAGAGCAAGGCACAGCCAGTGGGCGAGGCGCCAGGACCGGCCTGGGGCTCGGGCGGGCGCTGAACCCCCAGACTGATGGTTTCCCGGCAACAGCCCCGTGCAGGGCCTGGACCAGATGCCCGCGGTGTGCTGGCCTCCCACAGCCCCTGGCACCCGTGGCAGGCGGGGGCCAGAGCACAGCTCGGGGAGCTGAGGCAGACGCCGCCTCTGCCGGCCTTGGGCAGAGCCCGGAACACCCAGCGCTTCCGGTTCTGTGTCTCTCCGCAGCCGCACGGCCCCGTGCAGGGAGCACAGCTCCGCTTCAGGAGGAAAACGGGAACTCGCGGGGTGGGGGTGGGGGACACAGGCAATCAGCTGGGGCCCCTGAAGCTGCGGTCGCAGAGCCCGCCCAGGCCGCAGGCTGAGGCCTCGGACGCCGGCAGCAGCCCCGGCCAGCACGGCCTTGCAGCAAACAGAATGAGTAGCCGCGTGTGTGCACACCGCTGCCATCAGGCCAAAAGCGAACTCTCATTAACCAGCATCTTCATCTTTAAGCCTGCAGCTAGAGTTTGCCTAGAGCAGATGGAGAAACTTTTTGGAAAAACTAAGAAAATTTCATGACAGTGCCAACCCTCAATGTGCATTTTGGCAGCCAAGTCATAAAGTGGTGCTGCTCCCACGACAGCCACCAAGGGAAAGGCGAGTCCACGCCCAGCTCCAAGAGAAGAGGCAGTTGCCGGCTCTGGCAAAGCCCGGCCGGTGCGCCCAGCCCAGTTGCCTGGCTCTGGCAAAGCCCGGCCAGTGCGCCCAGCCCGGTTACCTGAGTTCTTGGTGGTTTTGTTCTGCCGGCTCTTCACTTGCTCCGTCCAGAGCGTGGGGTAGCGAGACGCGATATCTAGTGCGCAAGAACAGAAAGGCGGCCGCTTTTAACTCCTCTGAACACAGACTCGGGGCCACGTGCCGCCAGGTGACCTACCGCCAAATGGCACACGCAGATGGAAGGTGCTGACAGAAGCCATCGAATGACTGTGTTCATGAGACACAGGGAGACAATGGGGGCATTTTAAACACATCACTGTCAATGTGTGGCTTTATCCTTCACCCACAAGGACAGCTCAGTGCGGCCTGAAACCAGACAGGATTTTGAAAGAAGCCCGGTATACGCAGGCACGGGCCGGTAGTCCCGTCCGCAGCCACACAGCTCAGGGCTTCTGCTGCGCTCAAAGCACCAGCGCACGGAGCCAGGTCTCCCCCACACGTCAGGAACACACACTTTCTGGTCACACTGTCGAGCAGTCGGAGCTGAAGCTGCGGTGTGGCCGGACGGCAGGTCCGAGCCTCGGGACCCCGCAGGCTGCCTCAGTGCGCTTGCCGCGGACACAGTGCCGGGCACACACTGGCCGTCACCTGACCTGCTGTCACTAGCTAGCGTCACCCTGCCACCTCTCCGTCCTGCTTGTCGGTAATGTGCTGGCCGCACACCCTGTCTCCTGCCTCCTCCGACCCCAGAACTGGTGGGATTTTGGCAGATAGCCCGCCCGACAACCAGTTAAAGGTGAAGGCAGGACATCTCCTTGTCATGGCCACTAACGAAGATGGGCAATGTGAGGGACACGTGTGTCTGAAATATGATTTTATGTTATCCAAATAGTGAGCTTTCGATTCATAAATTCTTACTAAATGTATTCCCAGGGGCCGGCACTGTGGCGCGCCAGGTTACGCCACCAGCATCGCCATGAGCACCTGTTGGCCTCCCAGCCGCTCCACCCCGATCCAGCTCCCTGATAAGACGCCTATGGAAGCAGCGGAACACGGCCCCAGTGCGTGGGCCCTGCACCCACACAGGAGACCCAGCTGGAGTTCCTGGCTCCTGGCTTCAGCCTGGCCCAGCCCCAGCCCCAGCTGTGCAGCCATTTGGGGAGTGAACCGGCGGGTGGAAGAGCGCTCGCTCTCTCTCTCTCTCTCTCGCTCTCGCTCTCTCTCTCTGACTGACAAATACATCAAATAAATCTTTAAAAAAATAAGCAAAACCTCCTGTCCTGCAGTGGGAAAGCAATGGCAACACGAGGAAGCCTCGGGTCCCAAGGTCATCAGGAAAGAGCGGGCGCCCTCACGAAGCTGGGGAGGGCTGCCCGCACGGCCTCTGCCTGCGTCCCTCCGAGGGGACATGAGCCGTCCTGATGCCCAGGAGAGGTGACTTCCAAAGCCCAGAGAGCTAAGGCACCTGTCAGCCCACACTAATACTGTGCGAGTGGTCAGAGTTCCTACAACCTGCTCCCTCAGGACGCCCCGGCGCGCACCTGTGCTGTCAGCCCTCCTCCTCACGCTGCACACCCAGGAGACTCTGGGCCCGCAGGCCCGGGGACCACAGCGCTCTGCCCTTTGACCCACGTCTCCCCACCCCCTCCCAGGCCGCGCTCTGCTTCTGTGCACAGGAGCTCTGTCTGGGAGGTGATTTCAGAGTCCACGTGTCAGTGAGGTGACGCAGGGGCAAGTATGTGCCTGGCCTGCCGCCCTCCACGCCCAGGGGCACCCTGCGCTGGAGCGATGGGACCCCCAGCCCCTCGCCCGCCCTCCACGCCCAGGGGCACCCTGCATGGGGCGATGGGACCCCCAGCCCCTCGTCCGCCCTCCACGCCCAGGGGCACCCTGCACGGGGCGATGGGACCCCCAGCCCCTCGCCCGCCCTCCACACCCAGCAGTGCCCTGCACGGGGTGATGGGACCCCCAGCCCCTCGCCCGCCCTCCACACCCAGCGGTGCACTGCATGGGGTGATGGGACCCCCAGCCCCTCGCCCGCCCTCACACTCCCCCACCCCACTCACCTTCCTCATCTCCTTGAGGCTGAGTCTCCAACGCGGGAGCTGCGGCATCATCTGAATTCAGAACGGAAAAGATTTGCAAGGAGACTACAATTATGAGAGTGAGTTAGTAAGTGCATGCAGGACAATGCTGGACACGCATGCACCCCCCACAGACCCCACACAGCCCCAAACAGACCCCCCACAGACCCCACACAGCCCCGAACAGACGCAGGCACCCGTGAGCCTGCCCAAGCCTGAGCCACGTCCGCTGGGGTTCCAATCCATGGGGGCCCTGGGCAGGCTGGGCTGGGGTGACCTGAGCAGGGGGCCCAGCACTGGGTAAAACACTGGGCCTCACAGAGAGGCTGCTGGGGCGGAGCCAAAGCGGACATCGTCCCCTGCCCTGCCTGTCCTGGGTGGGAAGACCAGGGCGGGGGAGGCGTGGACCGCGCCACTGTCCTGACCACACCTCAGACACCGCTTCCACCTCGCCCGGCTGCAGATGGCGACAAGGGCCTGGGGGTGGCACGAGTGATGGGAGCCCTACGTCCCCTTCAGGGACAGCCTGAAAATGCTCACAGGCAGCTGTGGCTGGACGGGACCCACACAGGTCCTCTGCTTTTGTCATCTCCCTGGAACCACTCAGCAGAGCAAGCGCGGACGCCGCGTTCTCCCCAAGACCATTGAAAGCCCCCCGCAGGCCGGGACGCACACAGCGTTTTCTGCCGAGGACCGCGGCATCTGTGGGTTTGGCATTCAAGGGGTCCTCGCAGATCCCAAGGGGGAACTGAATTCAGCAAGGGCGGCCTTGTCCAACTGACAACCACACTCGGGTCCCGGCCAACACGAAGCAGAACGGCTCCTGGAAGCCCTGCTCCCCACGTGTGGCCCCCGGCCCCCACCCCACACCTTGTTCATGGAGCTCTGTCACAGAAAACCAGGATCAGCCCACGAGAGATGGCGACAAGGGAGGGATGGGCCAGCTAGTCACTTTCCCAGCTGTCGGAAGGACGAACATGAAGTTGTCTTACAGCGTTTGAGGTGGAAAACCAAACAGAATTTTTTAAAAAATCCTTAATGGTGAACAATCTCTTAAACAAGTTTGCCGTCAAAATACTGACCCAAATGTTGAATCACATTAATTGAAATACCAAGTCTAATGTTGACAGCAAAAATCAGCTGAATGTTTTGCTACTGACTATTTTGCAAACTTTTCCCAAGAAAACAAAATGAAATGAGGGCTCGTATCCAAGACACCTCTGACGCACGAAGCATCGGGAAGAACACACTGAGAAAAGTCGGCATGCGACGCATCTCCGCCTCTTAGAATGACAGGAATCAAATGCGCCATCGCTGGTGTGGGCTTCGCCGACGGCTGCGCAGGCCACCACGCCGGGGCCAGCAGCTGCTGCTCCACCTCCCGGGTCCCTGCCAGCTGCCTGCAGAGGGGGCTTGGTCCAGGGACTCGTGGCCCCCCAACCCCGTGCCTGGCACAGGAATGTCAGGCACTGTCCCGTCTCCTCCTGCCTTCTAGCGTTTGAGCTGATTTTCCTAGTCACGAGTCCTGGTCTTTTCTCTAACAAAGCTCCGTACGTCCACCTGCACTGCATTAGACGGACACAGGCAACCTGTTCTTATATTCTATAGAAAGCTCCTCTCCATCCTGTCCAACACACCGCTGCCGAGACAGCGCCAGTCCCACCGGCCGGGGCCTGTGAGCAGGAAGGAGCTGTCTCCCTCAGGGACGAGCTGTCTGTCCCACCGAACCCCACCCGCTCTTTCCAGCCCACCGAGCACAGGCCACATCCTCCCCTCGCGTGGGGCCGGCTCTGCCGCTGCTGACACTGGTGCACGCGGGCGGCACCTGCTCGGGGCCAGCTTGTCCCTGTGGAGTGCAGATGCCTCAGTCACACAGGGACTCTCACAAATGATGCCCCGGCCGGGGACGGGCCTGCAAGCTGTGCTTAATACAACCAGGTCTGTCTTCAGCCTCTCGTCCTCGTCACTGGCTCATTATACCAAGAACTGCACTGGGAAAACGAAAAGTGCCTACGATTTTGGCTTTGAAACATGATTGGTTTTGTCTGGGGGCCAGTGTTTGGCTTAGCGGTTAAGACACTTGCGCCCCGTGTGCCTGGGTTTGATGTCCAGCTCCGCTCCCCACACCGGCGTCCTGCAATGCCGCGTGGGAGGCAGCAGGCGGTGGCTCCGGTGCCGGAGCCTCTGCCACCCACGTGGGAGACCGGAGTGCCGGCTCCTGGCTTCCTCCTGGCCTGCCCGGCATCGGTCGGCACTCAGGGAGTGAACTCGTGCACTGGAGGTGTTCTCTCCCCTCCCTGCCTTCTTCCCTCCATTTGACAACTTGTCAAATAAATAAGTTTAAAATTAAAAAACAAGACTGGCTCCTGGCGTTCGGGTTGGGCTAGGATGAGGCTGTGTCCCTGGGACTGGGGGCCACAGCCGGGAGCAGAGTGAGGACCCCACCCAGCCTGCAGGACAGGAACCGAGGCCGCCAGGCAGCCTTTTGGGGAGACGGCCAGAACATTCTGTTCTGCTCTGGGGGGCACCAGTCACAGAGAAAGTGGCCGCTGCAGACGGAGAAGGCGCAGGAACACCCCATCAGTGTCCTGAGCACTCAGAACCCCCGGGGACCCAATCGGCTGCACCCCCAGCCCTCCACACGGGCGCCAACCCAGGCTCTAGGTGACGCCCCACAGGGCCTGGCCCATGCAAGCCTGTCCCTGGCGGGTGGCTGGCGACGGTAAGCGCCATCTGACCGGCTGCCCGGCTCCCGCCACCCTGGTCACGCGCACCAGGTCGCGCTCACGCTGCAGCCTAAGGAGTGCTTCAGTGTAGAGGGGCCCCCACGGTGCACCCCCGGAATTCATTCTTAGATAGGTACCTGCTTTCCCGGCACCTTCCCGCGGGGGCAACTTCTCGTTTACGGAACCTGCGAGAGGGAAGAGGGCGGGGTTAGCTCCGGTGCAGAAGGAGCGGCGGCAGCCCAGAAACGCTGATGCCACCCGAGCCGGGCCAGCGCCCGACACCGAGGGGACGTCCTCTCAGAGCCACCAGCAGCACAGGACAGACGGCTGCCCCTCACCCTCCCACAGCACCCCTGGGGCACTGCCCCCCACACAAGGGACGCTCAGAAGCCCCGATCACAGCGGAGAAAAAATGGACAGGGGCCTTCCGAGGGGGACCCCGTGAGACGGCACCCGGCACCGTCAGCCGTCAGCGTCCCCCGGTCTCCGGGCACGAGCACCGCTCCCGGTGCCCGCTCACTCCTCCCCTCTTCTTTCCACTTAACAAAGGAGCACACAGGGTCAGAACTGCCGGGGCGTCTGTCTGCCTCTTCAGTCCAGGACAGAACGGCGGCAGCCATTGGCCAGGTGGTGCTGCTCAAACGTCCCAGAACCTCCACGGTGCACGCGGCGTTGCAACACAGACTGGTATTTACAGCAGAAACACAAAGTCTGTGACCTGCTGTGTGGGGATGTCACAGCAGGGCCTCGGGAAGGGAGGGCGCCGTCCACTGGCCAAGGGTCCCGGGCGGCAGGGAGGCAGCGCCGTCTCCCCCGAGCTATGGTCTGAAGCCGCCCTGAGGGTGGTGCCCAGGTGCCTGCCCACACTTGAGAAAGAGAACACGGCCGTTCTAGAACCTTCTGTTCCCAGGGATAGTCATCAGGCAATGCAAGCTTCAGGCACGCGGCATGGGCACGCACTTGGGAATGTGTCTGTGAAATCAGCCAACAACGGCACATGCGGGCGTGCTGCCAGCAGGCAAAGGTACACGCGGGCACGTGTGCAGAGAGCCGTCAGGGGACACGAGTTAGTTACATGCAGGCACGTGTGCTGAGAGCCGTCAGGGGCACGAGGTACACGCGGGCACGTGTGCTGAGAGCCGTCAGGGGGCACGAGTTAGTTACACATGGGCACGTGTGCTAGCAGATGCCAGCAGACACAAGTTAGTTACACACGGGCACGTGTGCTAAGAGCCGTCAGGGGGCACGAGGTACATGTGGGCACGTGTGCTGAGAGCCGTCAGGGGGCACGAGGTACACGCGGGCACCTGTGCTGAGAGCTGCCGGGGGCACCAGGTGTGCGCCTCCTCCTCGCCCGTCTGCTCTGCCACCAGGCGCTGACACACCACGCCCCCTCGAGGCATCAGAACCCGGGAGCCACAGTGGCCCCCTGCGTGGCCCCCGCAGACCCCTGCCCCTCTGCCTCCTGCCTTTGCAGCAACATTTCACAAACCCAGGTTTCTTAGGGGCTTAGGTTCCTCAGTCATTGCTTATTTTCACCGTGGAGCCAAACATATGTCCTCCTTCTGCCTGGAAATGAGAGCACCGTGGTGATAATTCTGAATGTAAGCGTGCGGGTTGTATTACTGTACGTGGAACATAGGTATGCTACCAGTAATTAGAGTCACAGCCCAGAGAGGCAGGGCTGGCTCCTCACGCAGGCTTCTCGGGCGGCCGGGGCAGCTGAGGCCCGCGGGGCGCCCACAGGCAAGGGTCGGGGCGCAGGTGCAGCAGGCACACCTAGGAGCGAGGAGCGGCTCCTGCGCGTCTGAACGCTCGGGGCTCTGCCAGCGCCGGCCGGGTTCCGGGGGGCGCCGCTGACCTTCTCTGAGGAGGTGTCCGAGCCTCGCTCGGGCCAGACACCTCCCCCGCCCTCGGGTTTCAGTGCCTTTCTGGCAATTAGGGCAGTGTTTCTGCAAAGAAAACCACAAACGCGGAGGGAGGGAGGGATAGGGAGCCATGAGGTCTTGCACCTGGTTCAAATCCAGCCACACTCGGCCACACCAGTCACTGCCGAGCCAGCCCGTACCGGGGCAGGGTCTGCTAAAGCATGAGGTCTCAGGCCCGCTCCTACCTACTCCTGCACTGTAGATAGAGCAGGAGAGGCGAACCTGAGAGACGCATGCTGGGGCAGGTGAGCGGTCTGCAGTGAGCCCACCTGGGGCCGACGCCCTTCCCAGCACAGGTGATCGGCACAAACTCACGGCATCGGAGGGCAGAGGGACACAGGGACAGACAGGGGAGGGGGCGGGAGTGGGGGCCACCCCGTTCTCTGGAAGCCGGCGTCTCTGGCTCTGCCTTCCTGCCGGTCACTTCTGTACCTGGACGGTCGGAGGGGACAGAAAGACTGGGCCACGCCCCACCGATGTGGCTTTGGGTGGAGAGGGCGGAGCGCGGCAGAAGTTCAAACCTCACCTCCCAGCTCTGAGGCCCTCAGGTGCCCGCACCCCCTCAGAGCCTCAGCTGCCTCACCTGTGAAACGGGTCCTCAGATTCTGCTGTGAGCCCGCCTGCTCTGTGCTGGCCACACCCCTGCTCTGTGCTGGCCACGCCCCTGCTCTGTGCTGGCCACGCCCTGCTCTGTGCTGGCCACGCCCCTGCTCTGTGCTGGCCACGCCCCTGCACTTCGCCAACCAGCGTGAGTGCTGACGGCCAAGAGTGAGAACACCTCCCACAGGGAACAGCGCTGTGTCAGAGGAGCCGGTGAGGCACGGGCTGTGTTCACGCCAGGCCAGGGAGCAGAGCCCTAAGGAGCCTGGGCCACCGGCGCCTCGTCATCCACACAGCCTCGGGGGCCGCTCAGACCATGCTGCCCAGAGACCCACTCTGATCCCCCTGACGCTCGCCCACGGCCATGTGCTGAGAGGACTCAGGCGGGACGTGCCTGGGGTGGGGGCGGGGGTGGGGGTGGCGGGGAGGCCCCGTGGGTTTGCTCAGTGTCAGCACAGCACCCTGACGGGCCAGGCACTGCGGAGCAAAAAGCACGCAGGGGCACAGGTGCGCAGGTGTGCGGCCGTCTCTGCGTCGGCCTTCCACTTCCTGGCTTTGTGTCCTCTGCGGCACCTCCCACCCTCACCCCTGACCTGCGTGCTTCCGTGGCAGGAGGGGGTGCCTGAGCTCAGCCGGAGCAGTCTCACAACAGGGCCACACACGTTAGTGGTTTCGTAAACCTGCCCAAGGTTTGGCCAGTGTGGCTGCAGAGAGGGCAAAGAAGACGCTGTTAAAGATACGTAGCACTTGTCCAAGAAACAAGATGGCTGCGACAGCGGGGGTGGAGGGCGGGGGCCGGGGCAGGGTCCCTGGTCTGCCGGGAGGCCTTCCACACACAGAACGTGTCCAGAGGACGCACCCATTGTTCCTTGAAGGGAACAGTGCACGCTGGGACCACTAGCTTCTAAAAGATCTCTTGATTTCTTCTAGAAAGTTCCATCACATATTAGAATGTAGGAGAGACAAGCCATTGGGAAGCCATTGCCGGAGCAGGCGAGACGAAGCAGTGCAGAGAACACTCCAGCTCAGGGCCCAGTTAGCCAACAAACCCAGTGCGCAGGCAAGTCCGGGAGGGCAGTGCAGCAGAAGTGCGAGTGCCAGGCACTTCCCAAAGGCCCTTTCTCCTGAATGAAAGCAGCACCACCAAAGCATCGCCCGTGAAAGGGGGGGGTCGTTCAAAGTAAGCGCGAGTGAAAAGACGGCAGAGGAGCAGCTCAGCCCGAGGGCAGCTCGCCCCGTGGGCACGAAGCTGCCGCCACCCAGGGCAGAGTCAGGCGTAGCCACGCGGCCCGGTCCCGCGGCCAGAGCAGTCCTCTCCATCACAGCCGCCCCCTCGGCCTCTCCTCTACCATCTCAGTCTTCGAAAAAGTCGGGATCAAGCAAATACCCTCAGAGCCGCCGGCCTCCGGAACTCCCTGGGGGCTTCACAAACCTGCATGGCCCCGCCTGACCCCCACTCTGTCTCGTCAGGCTGAAATGGATGCCTCAGACATAACAGCGGTGTCTATGGAAGAACCCGCACGGGTGGCCGTCAGCTACACTCTCTCAGTCACCGCCCAGCCTTGCGGGCACAGGGGGGTCAGCTCTGTCCTCCCCGAGGTCTGGATTTCACTCCCGCTGCGGAGCCGGCCTGAGGGTCAGTGTGCTTTCTGCCTGGTGTGCGGGTTGTTAGTTTTTAGCTTTCATTGCTGATGCCTATTGAAATCCATTAATAAGGGTCATTTTTCAGGAGGAAAAATGGTGGGAGGTCACTTGGCACATCAGTCCACCTGTAACCACACACACACACACACGGAAACATCCACGTGTAACTACACACGCACACACAGAAACATCCACCTGTAACTACACACACACACACAGAGAAACATCCGCCTGTAACTACACACACACAGAGAGAAACATCCGCCTGTAACTACACACACAGAAACATCCGCCTGTAACTACACACACACGGGAACATCCGCCTGTAACTACACACACACACACACGGAAACATCCACGTGTAACTACACACACACACACACACAAACATCTGCCAATAACTACACACGTACACAGAAACATCCACCTGTAACTACACACACAGGGGAAACATTTGCCTGTAACTACACACACAGAGAAATCTCTGCCTGTAACTACACACACATGCGCGGAAATATGCACCTGTAACTACACACACGGAAACATCTGCCTATAACCACACACTTACACACGGAAAATCTGCCTGTAACCGCACACACACATGTAACCATCTGGTTGTAACTACCAGGCTGCCTTCTGCTGACGGAGGGCCGGGTGGGGGCCACGAGGGGCTTGGCCGCGGCAGGTGTGCGGCTCCCACTCCTCTGCCTCCGGCCTCGCAGGCCCCTCCGCTCACGTGCACAGCTCCACTCTGGGCACCGGGATTTCAAAGACGCCTTCTCCGCGGGTTCAGCTTACAACCCCTGAGACCACTTTGTGCTCAGGCCAGGAGCAGGCCTCGCCGAGGAGCAGGCTGGCAGGAGGAGATGAGAGGCAGGTCCTGACGCTGTTCGCACATCACGGAGGAGGTGCCAGCTGCTAACAGGGAGCCGGGGACAAAAGCCGTTTGTGAGCTCTGCTCCCGCCCCCAGCAATGTCACTCTTCAATTCTTTGGAGAAGAAAAGGAGAAGAAAAGCAAAGGAAAAAGGCAGAGAAAGTCCCGCTGAACAAGTGGGACTCATGGAGGTGCCCAGAGCAGGCTGGAGGCACAGAGCACAGGGAAACCCACCCGCCACGCCTGGCACCGCTGGGAGCACCCTGGGTGCTGTGCCGTGTCCTGAGCGCCCAGCCGTCCACAGACCCGGGGACTAAACCCACAGGCGTCTGTCTCCAAGCTGTGAGCAGCAGACAGTGCTGTCAGCAGGGCGAGCGCGAGGGGTGAGAGAGGCTCCTCCATCCCCAGGCTCCCTGCAGGCCCCACGCTGTTTGCCATGGTACCACCCCCTGCCAGGTGCCCCAAAGAAAAGTACTAATATAAAGGGGCCGCCCCAGGACCAGGTGAACAGCCCGCAGGCCAAGGTATCCCCAGGCCAGCCCCTCCCCAACCACTAAGCCCGTGTGCCCCAGGCGTGGGGCGGCTCCACTGCCAGCATGCGTCCCCAGCTGCTGCTTGAGCTGCCAGTGCACTGCAGGGGCCTTGGGTGCTGCAGGGGCCTTGGGTGCTGCAGGGGCCTTGGGTGCTGCAGGGGCCTTGGGTGCGCTCCCTTCGGGCCAGGGCTGCGAGCGCCACGGTGCCCAGCAGGCAGGCACCAGTGAGGTGCTCCTCTGTAGCGGGCACTGGCTCCAGACCCCATGGACACTCAGATCCTGTCTGTGAGAGGCCAGTGCTTGCGTCACATTAGGCGTGGGAGGTGCGCCAGGTGGGGGAGGTGTACCGGGTGTGGGAGGTGCACCAGGCGTGGGAGGTGCACCGGGCGTAGGAGATGCACCAGGCGGGGAGGTGCACCGGGTGTGGGAGGTGCACCAGGCGGGGAGGTGCACCGGGCCTGGGAGGTGCACCAGGTGTGGGAGGTGCACCAGGCTGGGAGGTGTACCGGGCGTGGGAGGTGCACCAGGCTGGGAGGTGCACTGGGCTGTACCGGGCGTGGGAGGTGCACTGGGTGGGGGAGGTGCACCAGGTGTGGGAGGTGCACCAGGTGTGGGAGGTGCACCAGGCGGGGAGGTGCACTGGATGTGGGAGGTGCACCAGGCGGGGAGGTGCACCGGGTGTGGGAGGTGCACTGGGTGGGGGAGGTGCACCGGGTGTGGGAGGTGCACCGGGTGGGGGAGGTGCACTGGGTGGGGGAGGTGACCCAGGTGTGGGAGGTGCACCAGGCGGGGAGGTGCACTGGGTGGGGGAGGTGCACCAGGTGGGGGAGGTGACCCAGGTGTGGGAGGTACACCGGGTGTGGGAGGTGTACCAGGTGGGGGAGGTGCACCGGGTGTGGGAGGTGCACCAGGCGGGGAGGTGCACCGGGTGTGGGAGGTGCACCAGGTGTGGGAGGTGTACCAGGTGGGGGAGGTGCACCAGGTGTGGGAGGTGCACCGGGTGGGGGAGGTGCACCGGGCTGCACTGACTCGGAGCGTGGGGGATGCACAGGCAGTGAGTCCCGGTGTCTGCCGTGGAGACCCGCCTGCTGTGACCCTGTCACAGTCACAGTCCCCTGGACAGCCACACCCACCCAGCCCCGCAGCCCTGCGCCAGCCCTTTCTGTGCTGGGTCAGCATCAGAGCCCCCCGGTGTGAGGGTGAGGCGCCCTCCGTTCCCCTGCATCTCCCCCTTGAGTCCCCAAATTCTCTGCACAAGCCGCCAGCGACTCTGCAGCTGCAAGATGCCCCCACACGAGCACCTGCCCTCCCGCAGCCACATCTGCCGCACAGGAGCTTGGGCTGCAGCCGGGGAGTGACCGGGAAGTCAGCGAGTGACCGTCACCGGCCCCCTGGCCCTGAGGCCGTAGCGCCGGTCCATGCCCCAAACCATGCAGAAGGCCAGGCCCCTCTCTGAGCCAGCGCAGGGGCCCCGCCGTCCACACCACATCCGAGCCAGCGCAGGGGCCCCAGCCGTCTACACCACATCCGAGCCAGCGCAGGGGCCCCAGCTGTCTACACCACAAGGTTTTATCCCCCTCAGGAGCAGCTCGACACAGTCGGACCAGGCTCTCGGAGCAAAAAGGCAAAACCCTCTTTACTCCCGTGGCTAGAAGCCCGAGCTGACGAGGGGGCATTTCTGTTAGCGAAGCGTTACTGAGGCCTGGCTGGAAACGGGACGGAGGGAGCCGCGGCGATCTGGTTCCAGATTCACTGTTGCAGACAGCGTGGAGTTCGTCCGTTCTGCAACTGGTGTACGAGGAGGTCCTTCCAGACGCTCAGCACCACCAGGACCCCGGGCAGCCCCTCTGCGTCCTGCTTTGTAAAACCAGGCTCAACTGTAAACGCTGCTGCGGGAGGGAGACCAGAGAGAAACCTCCGCGATGCGTCCGAGCGAGGGATGCAGAGTCCACCCGAACAGTGCCAGTTCTGCCTTCTCCCCTTCCTCCAGGGCCCTGCAAACCGGCTCTGAGGATCAACCACCGTCAGCTCGCTCGCTCGCTCTCAGTATATATATACACACACACACATATATATTCACAATATACATACATATACATACACACATACACATATACACACATGCACACACATTTATATACACGCATACACACGCATACACATATACACATACATCACACACATACACACACGTGCATGTCGGTCTTTTAGGTCCTGGATGACAAATAGCTTTTTTGATAATCACATTCTAACTCCACGTCACGCGGCTCTGCAGTGGGGAGCAGCCTCCCAGAAGCTCAGGCTCTGTGGGCCCGTGAGGGTGAGGAGCCAGGAGTTCTAACCCGGCATCTTCTGCAGATGTCTGCATCAAGGAACAGAATTCCCGCCCCTAAATGGAAACCAGGTCTAAACGTGAAGTCCAAATGTCACTATTCTAACACCCTACACGGGAAGCTGGGAAACATGCCGTGTGCTTCATTGTGTTGTATGATGATGCGTCTTCTGTTTATTATGCCATGTGATGACATGCCTTGTACTTTATTCTGTCATATGATATCATGCCTTGCACCTTATTATGTCATATGATGGCATGCCTTGCACTTTGTTATGACATGTGATATCATGTCCTTTACTTTATTCTGTCATGTGATATCATGCCTTGTACTTTATTATGTCATATGACATGTCTTATACTTTGTTGTGTCATGTGATATCATGTCTTCTACTTCATTATGTCATGTGATATCATGTCTTCTACTTCATTATGTCACATAATGACATGTCTTGTGCTTTATTATGCTGTGGATGACATGATTTGTACTTTGTTATGTCATGTGATTACGTGTCTTGTGTTTATTATGTCATGTGATGGCATGCCTTGTCCTTCAATATGCCATCTGATGGCATGTCTTATACTTCATTATGCCGTACGATGATGTGTCTCGTGTTTATTATGTCATATGATGACATGCCTTGTGCTTCATTATGTTGTATGATGACATGTCTCATACTTTATCATGTCGTGTGATGATGTGTCTTGTGTTTATGTCATGTTATGACATGCCATGTATTTTATTGTGTCATGTGATGACATGCTTTGTACTTTGTTATGACATGTGATGACATGCCTTGTGATTATTATGTCATGTGATGACGTGTCTTGGACTTCAATACGCCATATGATGGCATGCCTTGTACTTTATTATGCTGTTGATGGCATGATTGTACTTTGTTATGTCACATGATGACATGTCTTGTACTTTGTTATGCCATGCGTTATCATGTCTTGCACTTTGTTATGTCATGTGATATCATGTCTTTTACTTTATTATGTCACATGATGACATGCCTTGTACTTTATCATGTTATGTGTCATCATGTCTTGTACTTTGTTATGCCTTGTGATGACATGTCTGTATTTCATTATGTCATGTGATATCATGTCTTCTACTTCATTATGTCATGTGATGACACGCCTGTCTTGCTGTCCTGATACGTGCAGGCTAGGACTTCTGGCAGACCACGGGATTTCTCGTGGATGGTCCGAACGTCTCCTGAGAAATTAATCAAACTTGGGCTGCACACCATTTTCCAGTAAAAGTGATCTGAACCATTTATGGCCTTTTTTGGTAAAATATTAATGGAAAAGAGACCATTTTATAGATTGTTAGCCTGCCAACTTTATTACTTTCAGTACACCAAGCCCTCTTATGAGTAATAAAATAACACAAATAAACCATCTGGAAATTGGCCTATGAAGAATGATGCTTTTTCTTTCAAAACGTGTATATACAAAGGAGAAAAGTTCGCTCTCCTGGCCAAAGCAAACATGTGGGCTTTTCCACTGGCGAGCGCAGTCCTGGCGGCAGCTCTACAAGGTACAGATTCGGACTCGCCGTGGCCTGGCATCATCAACCAGGGCCGCCTCCTTCAGTGAGCTTTTGCCTGCACAGGTGTGCACACCTGTGTCTCGGCTTTTCTGCTCCTAACCACAACGGCTTCAGAACAGTGTAGGCTTTGTCCACCACCCCAGCTCCGCTCCACCCGCTGCTGAACCCCCTTCTAGCTATGCACAAACTCAGCAAGGGTGGTTGGGAGGAACAGCAAACTCACTGCTGTCTTCTACCCCCACGCCAAGCCAGACCTACCTGGGCACCTGGGTGTCTTGTGGGCCACGGCGGTCCCACTGATGGGCCTCCCGTTGGGTGTCACGCACCAGCAGTATCCCGTGTAGCTGTGACACTGGACCTGTGGAAAGGACAGGACACGTGAGCCCTCCGGCCGGTGCTGCAGCGCCCCTGGTCCCTACGGCCAGGGCATCCTCCGAGGTGCGGCTGGGGCCCAAGCCTTCAGGGACAGCTGCTCGATAGGGTGCTGGGCTAGGCTGCTGACCATGGGCCTCGGAGAAAGGCGACCTGGTGCTTCCGCAGTGTGCCACAGGGTCCCAGGGCTCACCCTCCCAGGCCGAGCCCACACCCTCCTCTCAAAGGGGAAACTGAGGCATGGAGTCAGGACTCACTCAGCGTCTCCGAGTTGTTCAGGACAGGGTCAGGGAGGGGAGCCCAGCAACAAGTGGTCTCCCCAGCCATCCGCCTGCCACCTGGGCCCTTCAGACAGCCGCTGACCAGGGCTGGGCTGTCCCGGCTCTCCCTCTGCCCCCTCCCTTGGTCATCTCTTAAAGGTCACATGACTGCTCTGAGAAGCCAGCACTCACATTAACCCACTGATGGTGGGCGTGGTCAAGGGCACGCCCTGTTTTCTTGTCTAAACCAAGTGTTGTTAATGTTGCATTCAGGGGTGCTGTTCCCTTAGTACAGACCGACAGGGTCGACACACTTAGAGTGCAGAGCGGAGCCTCCGCTCCACTGCTGCCTTCGGCTAACAGTGGTCACAGGCGAGTGCTGGCCTCGGCCTGGCTCCGCCTCCCATCCACAGCCCAGCACTGAGCTGCCTGACGTAACGGAAAGCGAGCCAAGTCCAACTCCCAGCCAGGAGCCAGGTCGGGGTCACCCCTGCGGCTTCCACACAGCAGCGGGGCTGGGGTGCCGGCCGCGAGGGCAGAGGCCCCGTGCCAGCCAGGGACCGCGAGGGCTCCCCGCCTCATCTGCTGGTGCGAGCTGGGCTCCCCCAGAGCTCAGAAGGGCGTCCCCGAGGCCAGCCCGCCCGCTCCCGCCGCCCCGCGCGGCCGCTGACCTGGCTGTAGGTGCCGTCGTCGTCACACTCGGGGATGAACACCTGCTGGAACTCCTTCCGGGCCTGCTCCTGGGTGTACTTCCTCTCGGCCACACACCTGGACACGTCTGCGGGGGAGAACAGGCAGGGGAGGTTACGCAACGGGAGAACGCAGAACCGGCGGGGACATCAAAGGTGCCGGCGTGAGTCACCGGCGGGGGCGGGTGGGGCCTTCCCGGCACCTGCGCACCCTGGGGCTCGGCCCCCTACCTTCCTCCTGCCCTGCCTTCCTCCTGACCAAGGCCTGGCCGTGAGCAGGGGAGGGGTCCCCTGTTCTGCTGGCTGCGTGGGGAGACTGAGGCTCAGGCACACTTGCTGGGCACATCCACGGGGAAGTCCAGGAGACACCGCGGGGCCTGTGTCTGGCCAGCTACAGACAGCCTTGGCCCAGGTCCGGACATGCAGGGAAGCCCGGCAGGACCGAGCCAGGCGAGGCAGGGGCAGGGTGCAGGAGCCACAGAAATGAAACTGACAGGGAGCATCGGGCGCCCGGGGGAGGGCACGTCCCACCCTCAGGGCAGCCCTGGGGTCTCCAGGACCACTCGTGGGAGGACATCCTGACCGCTCCCCTTCCTGTTTCTTCGATTCCCGGGACCTCAGGGTCAGCGCTGAGCCGGCCTCGCCCTCCGTAACAGGGCAGGTCGGACACTCAAGTGGAGGCAGGAGTCCAGGGTCCTCGGCGGGCCTCAGCGCGCCCAGTGCCCACTGCACAGCCTCACCCCTACAAGGCCTGCACTGCCACTGCTGCTTGGGATGCTGTCCCCTGGGACTCAGTGACCAGCGAGTGTAGACAGGCCTGAAAACACCGACACTTCTCATCGCACTCCAGAGAGCCGGATCCGGAACCGTCTGGGACGGGAGGAGCCCGCGTCCTGCTACAGCCAGGGGTCAAAGGGGAGCCCTCACTGCCGCCCATGCCAGGCCCTCCGGCTCCCAGGGGGACCCAGGGCCGTCTTCCCGCTACTCGATGACGACAGCACGAACGCTGACCAGGTAGCGCAGCACGGCACTGGAACGCCACGTCTGTGTGCAGGGGCACCGCGCCCGGCTAGCACCACCACATCACACACACAATCTGAATTTTATAACCCAAGGAGAACGGCTTCCCCCGCTCGACAAGCAGTGCCCGGGTCTCAGGACGACGGCAAGGCCTCCCTGAGCCCGAAACAGGCTCCCCCGCACACGGCCCGGCCGTCACCGTCTGGGTCTCCACAGCGTGATTTCTGGCTGGCTGCGGCTGAGCCCTGCTGGTCCAACCCGGGCCAGCAGCTCCGGGACGCGGCGGGCACAGGGGACGGAGCACAGGCGCTGCCGCTCCTCTGCCCCCGGCAGCACCGCCCTCCTCCCGGCTCGCCGCCTCCCGCCTGCTGAGTGCCGCCCCGGCCGGCCCGGGCCTGGCAGCATGTGGCTTTAATGCAGCCTGTGTTTTAGCCTGGAGAAATCGCCGCTTTGCTGGGCTCTGGGCCCCGTTCCTTTGGTATGCCCTGTGGTTTGACTTCTGAAAGGAAACGTGATACGCGCGCCAGCCTGCGAGGTCTCCACCAGGGGACACATGGAGCCACACGTTTCAAGTATTTGCACTATCGTGGAACAGGCCAGAAGAGCATCAATTTTCCAAACCACCTGTGGGCTTCGCTCCTGGATGGGATTTCTTTCAAAGACGACGTGTTTGCCACTGGTCAGGTCGTGCTCGAAGCCTGCAGCTCTGTGTCTAACAGAAAGTTCAACTCCAAGTGTGTGCTGAGCGCACTGCCGACTGCTCCGTCTCAGGAACAATTAGGATTCAGCAGCATGAAATTGCAAGGGCCGCGTCAGTCATCCTGCAAACAAGTCTGCAGTCACCTCCTTAAACAAAAGGGCTGCCACAGCTCGTATCCTCCGTCCCTGCTCACTCCAGACTCTGTGTTAAGTCAGGCCACGGGGCTTTGCTGTAGAGAGGAGTCCAGATCGGTTCTTCTGGAAGGCACAAAGTGCAGGGGCTGCCCTCAAAAGCAACCATGTCTCCCACGTGTAGTTAAGCCACCCTAGGCTTAAAGTGTAGCCTCAATTAAGTGCCCCCTTTTTAAAGTCAAAATATTAAACACACCCTCAAAATCGTGTTATTCGTGGCTTTCCATTTGTAATCACTTCTGAAAAAAAGGAACTGAAATCGTTCAGCATCCGCCACTTCAGGGGACAACCTTTTTCTCTTATTCTATTTTTTTCCTCTTTATCCTCCGTGTGGTCGCATTAAAACCAGTGGATCCCTCGTGGTTCAGCGGCCTGGCTGAGCTGCTCTGTGCACGCAACCGTCTGCACACCAAGTCCTCAACACCCGAGCTGCATCTGTTTCCCTTAGGATGCGGCACACAGCACGAAGTCGCCATTCCGGCCCCCTGGAAGTGTGCGATGCCGTGTCGGCCGGCAGCCTCACGACACCGTGTGAACACCACCTCCATCGAGTCCCAGCAGGGACCCTCGCGCCCACCCATCAGCCACTCTGCACTGCCCCCAGAACCACCAACACACTTTCTGTCTCCACTTTGCAAATGCAGGAGCTTGGACACACAGGGAGCCGTGGCACGCGTGGCCTCCAGCAGCTTGGACACACAGGGAGCCGTGGCACGCGTGGCCTCCAGCAGCTGGCTGCCTTCTCACAGCGAACATTTCCACCCACAGCTGCAGCCTGGCGCGCCTCAGAGCTGTGTTCGAGTGAATGGCCAGACACCGGTCCATTGTGTGCCTACACCACGTTCTCTTCATCCTCGCATCTGCTGATGGACAGCCAGCTCTCCCATCCCTTGGGCTGTTGGGAACAGTGTTGCCATAAACAGTCGGACTCAGGCTTTGTCTGCACACCTGCTGCCAGGCTTTGGGGCACAGGTGGCAGAGCTGCTGGTCCTGCCGCAGTTCTGGGTTTCAGACGTGGAGTCGGTGCCAGCCTGCTTTCACGGAGTGCAGCCGCTGTGCTTTCCCACAGGCTTTCGAGTCTCCACATCCTTGCCACCACGTGGCAGATCTGGGCAGAATTCCCACCTCCCGGCCTCACTCTGCTGCAGGCACTGGGGAGGAACTAGCGGATGGACTATGGATCTCTGTCTCTAATAAACACTTTAAAAGTAATTGTTCTCATTTTAAATGCACAAGGAAAGAAATAAAACTATAACAGCCTTGAATAGACAATCAGGATTGCCGAATTGTAAAGAGAAAAATTAAACTACAAACGACTCCAAGAATACGCACTGTGTATTCTGACAACTTCCACACTATCTGCACAAGGAATACCTCATCAGGGCCGGCGTGGGGCCGGGGACTGCAGCACCTGCACCCATGTGAGCACGGGCTGGAGTCCTGGCTGCTCCACTTCCGACCCGGCTCCATGCGAACGTGCCTGGGAGAGCAGGTGGGAGACCCAGAGCGTTCCAGGCTCCTGGCTTTGGCCTGGCCCAGCCGCAGCTGTGTAGGCATTTGGAGCATGAACCACAAGTGGAAGGTGGACACCTCTCTCCCTCTCTCTCTCGATCTCTCTCTCTCTCTCTTTCTCATCCTGCCTTACAAATACATAAATAAATCTTCACACAAACCTGATGTCTGCACTAGCTAGCATAGTAGCAATCTTACAATACCCAGGCAAGGGACCTTCCTTCTCTGACAAAACACAGCATTCTCCGTTTGTTTGTGGAAATCCCCTCCCACATATGAGGGAGGACACGTTCTTATTTGTCTTCCTGTGTCTGCCTCATGTCACTCAGCACGATGTCCTGCAGCTCTAACCGTTTCTACGAAAACGGCAGCAGTTCACTCACTGCTACGGTAGAACAACATTCCCTCGTGCACACAGACCACCTTTGCCGGGAGATCCGTATGTTGGCTACTGTGAGCAGCTCTGCAGACAACACGGGGGTGCTGACATCTCTGACGGAGCTTGTCCATGTCCCTGGGTGTCTGCTCCATAGCATGATCACTGGACAAACAGGAGGTCCACTTCCAGCTCTTAAAGAAACCTTCAAACCGCACTCCACAGTAGCCGCACTGAGGTCCACCCACACCAACACTGTGAGAGTCCTCCACTCCTCCCCACTACACTGTGAGAGTCCTCCATGTCCTCCCTACGCTGTGAGAATACTCCACGTCATCCCCACCACACTGTGAGAGTCCTCCAATCCTCCCCACCCTGTGAGAGTCCTCCATGTCATCAGCACCACACTGTGAGAGTCCTCCATGTACTCCCCTCCACACTGTGAGAGTCCTCCATGTCCTCCCTACCACACTATGAGAGTCCTCCATGTCCTCCCTACACTGTAAGAATCCTCCACGTCATCCCCACCACACTGTGAGAGTCCTCCACGTCCTCCCCACTACACTGTGAGAGTCCTCCACTCCTCCCCACTACACTGTGAGAGTCCTCCACTCCTCCCCACTACACTGTGAGAGTCCTCCATGTCCTCCTTACCACACTGTGAGAGTCCTCCACTCCTCCCTACACTGTGAGAGTCCTCCACATCCTCCCTACACTGTGAGAGTCCTCCATGCCATCCCTACCACACCGTGAGAGTCCTCCACTCCTCCCTACACTGTGAGAGTCCTCCACGTCCTCCCTACACTGTGAGAGTCCTCCACGTACTCCCCACCACACTGTGAGAGTCCTCCACTCCTCCCTACACTGTGAGAGCCCTCCACTCCTCCCCACACTGTGAGAGTCCTCCACTCCTCCCCAGCGCCCCTTCTTTGGCGACAGCCGTCTGACGGGGAGTTGATGGCTGATCGTGGCTCTGGCGATGCCCGGCGTTTGCCACGCACGTGGCCCTCAGCACGCCTCCCTGGAGCACTGTCTGTCGAGGTGCTGGCAGCCCGTCCACACGCTCCGGGGCTTCTCCTACCTAAGGCTGAGCCGCCGGCTCCCCAGCTCCTCTGACGGCTTCTGCTCCGGGATTTACTACGGCCCTTGCCAAAACAAAGAAAGAGCCCATTTTGTTTTTCTGTGCGACATTCCAGAAATAACTTGTTCTGTTTCTGGCCACGGCTTCGACATGAGAGCAGCGGTGCTCCCCTGTTGTGTCTACGTTTGCTCTATAAAGAGGGTGTTTCT